GCTGATTTTAGAGCAATAATAAATTCAATAATTATTTCCTCCAAATATAATTATGTACACACACAGCGAAATGAATTTAATGAATAAATTGTAAATGGAAATAGACATTTGTATAGAATACCGGTCTTAGCTAAAAAACACTTTATCTTTGTAAGGAAAATATAAAACGTAAACCAAAAAGACATATAATCTATCGGATTTATCCCAAATGTTCATGAACAGGTTTTCGCTCTTCTTTGTGTAGTAAAGTTAAGCCTGTGGGCTTGTAATAGATAATTGCGATAATTGTGCATGAAAAAATATATTGATTTTAATGTCATTTAATAGCACAGAATAGGTAAAAAGAGCATGGAGAATTATAAAGTATTTCCTTTTTTAGGCTATTTTTGCCTTAATGTTCCTACTTATGAAATTTTATATAAATTGCAAATCAAATATCCTACACAGAAGAGCGTTATGATTATAGTTATCGCATCCATGTGTGTTATAATTATATTAATTTAAAATATTTCAGTATGATATATACGTTTCGAGTGGTCTGAACACAGTCATAAACAATGACTTTAATACAATTAACAATTTATCAAACCAATCAACCATTTCTATGATTTAGATAGTGAGATTGCTTGAAAAATGAAATAAAACAAATAATTTGGAATTATAGTTATTTTTACTTTAAGTACTTGTAAACATTGAGGTGTAAATGAAAAAAAGAACACTAAAATGAAAATGTACATGTATTTAAAAATGTGTATTGGATAAGTCCATTACTATTTTTGTTTACATCTTATGAAACATTTAAACGAATTAACTGTTAGCGTTTGTACCACGTTATATTTCCGTAAGAAATCATTATTAGATCCAATCTTATCAATTTAGCATCGTTTTCTTTTTTTGAGTCCATCAAATCCATATCAAATGCATATATTACTGCATATAGCCTCGTACTCATGTTTAGTCTCCAAAATCTATATCAAGTCCTTATTGTACTTGTGTTGGAACAGTATACAAATGCAGACGCCTTGTCCAATACAGGTTTCACAGCTGTCCAATAGAGTTCAATGTCGTACACAACAATATATGATAACCTCGTTATCAAATTATCACCATGGTATTTCAACATTATTTAACCTATGCAATGCCATTAAGACAAATCACGCAGGTACAAGAAAAACACATTTTTAGCAAAGGAGAATAGCAAAATTGCGTGTAGAACGGAATCAAACTAAGGTAAAACATTTAATACCAGGAAATAATATGAGAGGTTGGAAAATATAAACTTGATATAGATCTATTTATAAATTCAAGAAGCGTGCTATGTCTGTAAATTGTCATTTCTACTTGAACAGCAGAATTCGTTTTTTTTTTTTGTTTTACGTCGCACCAACACAGTAGATATCATATGGCAACATTTTAAGTTTATAAGCATTTTTGAACTGTTCTTTAGATAACCTATTTATAAACTGTAGAGAGCGCTTCCTATGGCACCACGGGTTTTGAACAGGCGACCGCGAAGGAAATATTTGATGTATGAATTTAACCAAAAGTCAGAAGGAGAAAGGACAGCGAATGTCGCAAAACCTCAATTATCTGCTCCTGTAAATAAGCTTGAATCAAGGCTGACCGGTGCGCAGGTGCATTATCAAAGGATACTTTAATCCCGAGCACCAAGGACCGTAGGTTCATTGCAATGTAGTGATTAACTAGAGTAGTGAGAAAATGGTCAATGTAAATTGTTCCGGTGACATAGGCCGCTATTCCATCACTGTAAAAAATAGAGCGTACATTACTCTTAACCCTCCTGCTACGTCGATCAACAACTGGGCGTTTTCACCTACCCACATTTTGTTACTGAGTTTATTGTCGGGCTCAAAATAATAAAGCCAAGTTGCATTCCCTGTGACAATTTCTCTCTAGGCGCCCAGGGTCTCAAACATTAAACCTAGTGGCTTTTTCAACCCACTTCCTCTTCTGATCAGAAGTAAGCAAATGCAGGATCCAACGGGCGAACACTTTCCTTAACTTTAATTTTTCTCCAAGATGGAAAACACATATGACGTACTAAGGCCCGATATGTCACGATATATCTTCATGAACTATTGGTATGTCAGTATTGATGTCTTTTTCAGAGGAAGCGGTGATGTCTTTTTCAGAGGTAGCAGAATTGGGCCATTTTGAACATTGAAATGATAATTCTGGAAATTCGGAAAGCCTAACGAGAGACTGATCTCAATTTTCAGGCCGGTATTTCAAGACGTATATAAAATGGTCAATTAATCCAGAATGTGATTTATGTGCGAGTGTGTACCTTAATAATAATAATAATAATAATAATAATAATAATAATAATAATAATAATAGTAATAATGGTCAATGTATACTTTAACTGATGTAAACTTATTAACCACATTTCCAGGCTATTTCGAGAGAAGTGTGATATTAATATTATTTAGGGAACATTTGTCATGTTACAATATTCGTCATCTTAATGTCAAATCTCCTACACATTTCTGTACATCCTAAAAACAAAATATATGTTGATATTTGACAACGAGTCACCCAAAGCCAGGGAGATTTATAAGCTAATGCAACATTTTGAATTAAGTATGATGCATTTTAACTATTTGTTCTACTATATTTTTGATATGCTTGACCTAATGTATGAAATTAATATGGTAATTTTTTGCCTTAAAAGCGAATGGTGCATGCACAAAATCATTGCTAAATGGATAAAACCCTTCTTAAAATAGCAAAATGATAGTTTGTTCCAGAACAATCTTTTTACGTACATTATTCATGTGTATATAATAACAGAGACATTCTATGTTACAACCTTTTTCAGGAATTATCCATATAATAATGGAACCAATATAATTTTACTGTTGATACATTTTATTAAAATATTTCATAAGATATAGATTTATACAATCTCTATTGAGTTTTTAAACTTGTATAAAGCCAGACTTTCTTTTTAATTTCCCAAACTAATCAGCCACTCAATCAAGAAAACAAGTACATCAGGCAAATGTAGCGGCGTTATATCTAACTCAAACTTCGTAGGACTTCCATTAGTCATTTTAAAATTATAAACTGAAAATCAGAATATTTCATTGGCCATTCTAAAACTAGTCAAAGAAAAATAAGGATCTTTATGAAAACGTATACACGTCTTAAGTCCTAAATAATCTAAAGGAGTTTCGGCAACAAACTTTCTAATTAATTATCTGGGATATTAGACATCTATGAACCGTATTTATGACATGTACAAGTAATCAAATTGCATTATATCCGCAAATGAAAAAAATATATAGTAAGCATGCTATTATTGCACTTATAAGTTAAATGTAGAATGTCAATTCTCTTCTTAGTATATGGTCATATAATAGAGCCATATAATATGACATATTTATCATTATCACTTAAGTGTAGAACCAATACAAATGATACAAAATGTTGCTGGAGAAAAAAGGTGATTATGAAATCGTACAACTACTTTTTTATTTACACGATAAGGACAGGTTATAACCTACGGCTTACCTTATGCAAAGCTTCGAAACATAGTTGGCACCATTGACAATTTAATTGGAGCTTAACTAAACATTCTGTAATATAACGGAAATCACAAAACGGCAAGTTATAAACAATTCTGATGGGAAATTATGCTTAGAGCTTTTTTTCCCTGTGATGGTATTCATCAATGGACCAAAAACGTTCCTTGATGAGCCATTAAAAGGGACGCTATTGTAAACAAAAGATAACGAGGACTAAACAGCTTGTGATTTGTTTATAAATTATCTTTTTATCAATTCGAACGTCTTTTGCGAAGTTCTTTGAGGATACAGTTAATAGGTAATTCGTTTAAAGCTGCATGCCTCCAGATGAGCCAAAATAAAATTAAACCGGAGAAAAATGCACTAAGATTTAAGAAAATTTAAGATTCAAGTAATAATGTACATGTTATGTAGGATTAAAGACCGAGTTAGCTGTATTTATATCCATATTTTTACTGCGTTAATAACGTAGTAACAGCTATTTTCTTCTTATTTTGACCTATTTTGGTAATTTACGAAGGTTGCAAGTACTGCTTGCAAATTAATGTGTAAATCATCGTCACAATATTTTACATTTATTTCTTTTAATTTTCATGAAAATTAGCATGAATCTGTAGGCATGTAAACATGTTCGTTTGAGACTTTAAGAAAATATAATAAATGCGTAGACACAAATACGGTGTATATCAAACACATGTAATTGCTCACGGCTAATTTTAATAATTGTTAGCCTAATCCATAAGTTTGTAAAAAATAATGATACACTCAGCATTATCTTCTGCCTTTAAAAATTACTTGAATCTCACCCATCACCCTTTAATTTTTAAAGAATAACAAATAATTGATGCTTTCAATCTTCTCCTTAAAAAAAACATTAACACAAAATGTCTGTTCATATGGGTTGTGTGAGATATCTGTCATCTAAAATAATTAACTTTTTTTCTTTCTGCAATGATGATCTCGAATTGATGCAAGAGTGTAGCTCTCTGGCCACAACAAAAATGTTAAAATATCGCAATAGCCACTAGGGATGGGTACCACCAATTTTTTTGTACCGCGGTATATCGCGGTATTCCACCTGTGTACCGCGGTATGTACCACGGTATTATGAAGACACTTTTTAATGTTTAACTTATGCAAACTAAGACTACCAACTGCCATAAGAATGTTTAAACATTTTGATAAAACACAATACATTTTAGAAAAACAGATTAATATCTTTATTTCTTTCAACTAACATCTGTCTACCTGACTGGAAAATAATAAATAAAAGAAAGAAGAAAATAACCTTATTGTCTTGATAATATTTTCAACAAAATCTAAAACAGAAAAATGGCAATTCCCATGAAGACTCCTATTGTCTTAAGTTTTTAATAGCACATGGTTTCATTGGTTTGCATGACCATTGTCTAGAATAATTTGAAGGCCGGCTATGGTTATGCGGGACATTTATAGCAAGTTCTTCTTTAGGAAAATCAACTTGTCAACGTGTTTTGATTTAAGACGTGACCTCTGGGCACAAAGAATATCTCCAGCAGTAGAGAAGACTCGTTCAGATGGAACACTAGTGGCTGGAATGCACAGGTACTTCTTAACAACCCGAGCAAGAAGAGGGAACTTGTGCTCATTATCTTTCCACCACTGCAAAGGGTTCACATCCAAGGGAACTGGTGGACATTCTTTGTACTGCTGTACTTCAGCCTGAGCAAGAAGAAGAGGTGTCTTGGGTGGCTCAACTGCACAAATATAGACATCACCAAAGATTTCTCCAAATACTGATGATTTTGCACTTTTCATGCTTGTTGATATTGATTTTGTTTCAGTTTTGATCTTCTTTGAAGGTGGGCCTTGGGTGGATTCTTGTTCAGTTGGTTTACTATCTCTCTCTGAATTTTCAGGCAAACTTGGTAATTCTGGCTCATCAATTTCAGTTAGGAGGTTCTCATCTGGCTCAATTTTAACCTTACTCACTTCATTTACTGTAACTGTTTCTGATGTAAGTCTATTGAAAACCCCAGCCTTGTCTTCATCTGACAAAAAAGGAAGCATTTTGAATCTTGGGTCAAGTGCTGAGCACATATTGAGAACTTGCTCACTTCCTTTGTATCGAGGTTCAAGACTTTTCTTAACCAAGGACTTCATCTCTGTCACTGCAGGGCATTCAGTATCTGTGCCTGTCAAGATGGAGTTTACAATCTGATGTTGTAAGGGCATTATTACAGAGACTGTTGGGTTGTTTTCTGAGCAGAGCATCACTGTGATATCCTTTAAGGGCTTTAGAAACTTGATCATCTCCTCTGCTAGAAGCAGTTCTTCATCAGAAATGGAGACATCACTCACTTTGCCAACATCTTTTGACCTAAGGGTCACACAGCCACCTGCATCTCGAGAAATCTAGACACCATATCATATGCACTGTTCCACCTTGTGCTAACATCAATGATCAATTTATGCTGCGGAAGACCTAGAGCCTCAGCCTTTACTTGAAGGATATTATTTGCAATGTTGCTTCTGTGAAAAAAAGCCACTATTCGACGGATCTTGGCAAGCAGGTGACTAGCTCTCTTTACTGATAAGCATTTCTGCACAGCTATGTTCAATGTGTGAGCATAACATCCAAGGTGAAGTGAACCAAACAACTCTCCAGCTTTCACCATGTTACTTGCATTATCGGTTACTAGAGTCGGCTTACCATGCCCTGTTGGTAGAGCCCATTCCTCAACTGCTGCATTTAATACTGCTGTAACATGCACTGCTGTATGACTCTCTGGGAGTGCCCTGGTCTGCAACACAAAGTTCTTCAACTCCCAACTATCAGTGATATGGCTTGATGTAACTGTCATATATGATTCAGTAGCACAGGACGTCCATCCATCAGTCGTCAGTGAAACCTGAAATGCATATACATTTAGTTAGAGGCATAACTTACATACAACTGACTAAATTTACTGAAAAAAAATTGTTAGACTATATGGGTTCAAAATTATCCTTTACTAAATTTAGTAAATTTGCAAGAACATGTAAAAGACGTTAATTTTATAATTAAATGCAACTTGACATTCTGTGATGGCCATCGAGTCATCAACCCTAAATTTGAGACCGTATTACAGAAAAATCATATGCAATATAATATGAATTCTTTTTGCAGTTTTATATAAATGATACCCTTTTTTTTCAAAAATCATTATTTTAAGGAAAACTGATGTCAACTTATAAGTTATGTCTTTTTAAGTCTATTATGTTACAATATTTCATTAATTATTGTTATATTAAAAAATGACTATAAAATTATAATCTGTCACAGTCTATCACATTAATTACCTGTTCTGCATTCTTCAGATTAAGTTTCACATTTTCCTTGGCAGATTCATACATCTCGGGTATGATTCTTTCTGAAAACACTTTCCTGCCTGGGACAGTATATCTTGGGTCAAGGCAACTGATCAAGTCTTTAAACTCGGGACTTTCTACCATACTGTATGGACGGAGATCTTTCACCAAAAATCTTGCAATTTTATTTGTTATTAGTTTAGATCGATCTGAACTACTGGCATACTTTGACGCAAATAGCTTTGGTATTGTAGGTAAAGAAACAGTCTCACTTTGTTTCTGGTCCACATGAACATCAGCGGTGGTAGTTTTTGAACTTGATTTTAATGATTTAGCAGACGACAATAATGACGGATGATGTCGGCGAATGTGAGCTGATAAATTGGACGTCCCACCTCCTGAACATTTTATGACCATATCACACTTCATACATACGGCTGTATTATCAATTAATTTCTGTGTTATTTTAGACTTTTGGAGCCCAAAATGCCTCCAAATATCCGATTTCCCCTTTGGATTTTTGACCGTGGTGAATTCGTCCATGACGGTATGAGCTGTTTACAAGTTGGGCTATGTCTAAATGCTTTACGTTTTGTTATTGTCGCCACTCGTCAATACGTCAACATGTTTACTAGCCTTAGACTGAGCACTAACATGGGTGTCCCCTTTTAATGCATTTAAATGAAGAATGATATATAGAAATTATAAAAATGTCGGCGGATGAAATGTATTTACACTACATAATAAATATGAAAAACAACCGGGAAACGATCCGACCTTTCCGCGACTAATTATTCGTTAGAGTATTATACTGTGCATTTACTGCTGCTCTAAAAATAGACTTGGAATTCCACTTTAATTTAGGTTGAAAGTTGAAACACAGATTACAGGGTAAATAACGCCCGAATCTTACAAAAATATTATGTAAAATTATATATATTAAAAAACCGGTATTCCTAGGGGTCGTACCGGTACGTACCGCGTCTGAACGAAACCGCGGTATACCGGTATACCGGTAATACCGCACATCCCTAATAGCCACTACGTTTGTCTCCAGTAGAGACAATGGTTTAATATTATTATCAAAACAAACATAAGGGCAGCTACATCACGAGTGGTGTCAGACTTTAAGACAAGGATTTTCAACTATATATGTAGCAGCAAGGTCTTAAACTAACGTTCTAAGGACCAACTCGTTTTTACTAATTTATATAAAGGTTATCGGCTTAGTGAATATAGTATTGCAAATAAATCTGCTTTTATGTTATTAGAATACAAGTTGTTGAAGAGATAAACGGCAGAAAATAGCCCGAATGAGATGAATGTGACCCGGGTTGCTAATCGACAAGTGAGGATATATTCCCCTGTATGTCTCGTCACAAACATAATATATAACAACATTATAATAACACAAATTGTTATTGACGACAAGTTCATATAAAAACCCAGCACTTGCAAAAAGACACGTACTCGTTCATAAAAAGCAATAATAAGAAATTCAAGTATGAAGTCATCATAGCGTTGTAACCTTCCTTTAACTTTATTTTTTTGAAGTTATGACCTTTGGATCAAGAAATTTGCCAGAAAGAAACACCCACTAATAATGTTTATGCAGACGTAGATAAACGAACACGATACATCAATGTATTACCATTTATTTGCGCCTTGATTCCTCACGGTATATTCAGCATCATATACAAAATGTTTAAGCCAATCAGAATAAGAGAAAATTATTTGTATCATAACAAATATTAATAAAAATATTAAATACCGAATATTGAGCCAAAAATTCCCTTTGCATTCCATTCATGACGCACCAAACAGGAACGAGGCAAACTGATCGGTCTCATTTATTAAAGCCATAGATGTTGAAAATATACGTTTTTGTTTCAAATCGTATTGTAAATTGTAAGTATGTGACTCGAACTAGATTTATTTGACTCTTGTTACAATTATCCTTGCAAAACATAATAACTCAATCTTAAAATAAGTTAATTCTACACTTATTATATAAATAATATTTTATTTTGAAAGTTAGTGAAGAAATATGCAATTTTAAATTATTGTCGTACGTTGCACTAAGTGTCATGAACCCTCACAGAAATGTTAGTCAGAATTTGTTGTTGTGAACCTTTGGTTTACTTGTGCATTTATTCATTATTTGTAGAATTATTGTACATTCTACCTTAATTGTATCTAACATTCCAAAAATACATTTATATCATTGCATATTTGCCTTTTTTTGGCATATTTTACCAATGTAATCATGGATCATCCCGCGTACAGATAGTTTAATTATAGATAGTTGTCACTAATACTAAACAAATCTAACGTTTTTAAAGCATTCAAACGATTTGTTACAAAATGCGCCCAGCTACGCGCGTGCTTCATATGTGTAAAATATAAGTAAAGAAAATCGTGTACTTCAATTCAGTTTGCGAAGACAAGTGGTAGAGACATGGGAAACGTTAATTTAAAAATCGTATGCGTTTATAGTTTTATATTTCTGTGTACTGTGTACTGAAGGTGCTTCTGCAACAGACGGCAACGGGACTAAGCCAAGTGAATTAAATGGAAAAGAGCTAAGAGAGCTAGGGATGAAGTTAAAACTTCCAAAGTTACGAATGATAGGCAAAGCAATAGAAAATATTGAAGTAAAAATAGAAAGTGGTATAGAGAAACTTGAGAACGAAACTGCACAAAAAATATGCGATCTAAATCCTTGTTTACCGTGGTCAGACTGGAGTAAGTGTAGTTCTAACATTCATATTTTTGGATCAAAATTCCGAACAAGACAATGCAGTCTTGACTTATCTACATGCAAAGTTGATACCACTAATAGTAAGATAGAGAAACAGTTTGAAATATGTGGTGGATTTTGTCCACTGAGTTACAATATTACGAAAAATGGGTTCTGTTTGAAATTGTTCAGTGACAAAGGACGAAATAAGGAGGCAGCAGAACTGAAGTGCCAAGAGGACAATGGGCACTTAATAAATATTGATTCTGAAATCAAATACGAGGATGTCGGGAGCCTTATGGAAGGGTTTGGGACATCTGTATGGATAGACGGGTATAGGAAAGATGTTAGTTCTCACTGGACGTATACGTACGGTTATCAGAAAGGATTCTTCAAGTGGTATACTGGTCAACCAAGTAATTCATCTTCTGAACTGTGCTTAAGTGTTCACAAATATAGTGCTATACAATGGAGGGACAGTAGCTGTAATAATCAGTATTACAGCATTTGTGAAGTCATTTCCTCGTTGACCTAAACAAAGCGATGTATTGTGTCAGATGTACCAATTGTTTTTCAAATATTTGAACAATAAAAGTGAATTTAGTTCATATTGAATTTCATTTTTTTAAATAAGAATGAAACTTTTTTTTTGTTATTACAGTCCTATAGATCCAACTCTAAAAAAGGACATGAAGTGCAAGTTCACAAATTCAATTATGAGTATTAAACTCTGAAAAGCAATCAATTCAATACGGACAAAATGTTCTCTAGTCGCAAGTTGGTTTATTTCAATTTTTGTATACAGTACTGTTTGATTTGAAACATCTAACTCCTCGTTTCCTTTCAATTATTTGCATGACATTTTGGCATATTTCATGTAGTATAATAAAAGGGATTGTTATAAAATTTTTGTTAATTTCCGATTTATTATCAAGAAAGAGAAATGTATTTCAATCATACGTGCAATGATAAAAATCAAAGCAACAGTACTGAACTGTGATTTATTTCATCAAGGATGACATGTTTGTTTTAAATTGTTTGTCCAGCTGTCTGTTAGTCCGCCGGAAGTCATAAATGAACGCCTTATTTTTTATGAAATTGTAGAATTCAGGTTTTCAAATGGGACAAAGTGAGCCAAAACGAGTAATGGATGCAAGCTATTTCCAAAATTTCATTTTGAAATTTTCTATCAGACACGCAGAAAATGTGGAATGCTCAAAGGACATATTATAAATGGTACATAAACCATAATTTTCATTTAACATGGTAAACAAATATGTTAATGTAAGTCGGCATGAGATTCGCACCGTGATGACAGGGACTAAGAGGCAGGAAGTGCTACATCTTACAGCAGCAACCATAAATCACATCTCATTTTCTCAACAAATATGAAATCCGTTGCTTATCTATATTCATACAAATATCATTTCATCAATGTATCTGTTAGACCAGACTGTATTAAATGATACAATGTATTAATACCTTTACACCTTTGGTGACAAGCCGTCTACTTTAACGAGACATATACACTCAGTACAAAAAGAAACGCAAACTGTATATATACCTGGTCATGTCCCATAGTAGGTGTGGTGCAGAAAAACTTCAATACCTTTTTAATATTTCATCCATGCTTTATTCAATAACACAACAATTTCATTGATACCTGCAAAATTACGAAAGTTCCAGCAGTTTAAACACAGCGCTATCGATCACGAAAATTTCAGTTTCAATACCTTGTGTGTCCACCCCTAGCATTGATAAGCGCCTGGCAGCGGCGACGCATAAAGGTCACTAACATAGCAATGGATGCCTGGGGAATGTTATTCCACTCCTGCACTGCGACACGACGAAGTTCCTGCACCGTCTGGGGCTGTGGCTGATGCTCATAAATGCGACGTTTTAGCTCGTCCCATAAGTGTTCAATAGGCGCCATATCTGGCGACATTGCAGGCCAGTCTAGCATTGATGTGGTTCCGAGCAAGAAAGGTTTCAGTCAAACGTGCTGTGTGCGGGCGAGCGTTATCCTGTTGAAGTGTCCCATGTCCCTGAAAATGACGGTTCATGTACGGAACGACAGCAGGTGCTAGAACATCATTGATATAGGTCTGAGCATTGACATTACGGTCGAACACTACAAGATCTGTTCTTCCAAACTGTGACATCCCTGCCCATATGTGAATGGAGCAACCACCCCAACGATTAAAAGTCTGAATACAAGCTTCGGCATAACGCTCGTTCCTGCGCCTCCAAACACGTGCACGACCATCGGCTCTGCTCAGCACTATTTTAGTTTCGTCAGAGAAAAGTACCCTGCTCCAGAATCTACGGATCATTCTTATGTGCACTCTAGCCCACCGTAGTCGATCCCGTTTGTGACGTGCAGTGAGGCGTGATGCCTTGAGGGGTCTCCTACACCTCAAACCAACTTCCTTAAGCCGATTTCGAACTGTGTTTGCGTGTATACTGCACCTGAAAAGTAACGCAACGTCTCAAAAAGGGCAAACCTCATCAAAATTTGAACAGCTCAAAATTTGATAAGAGCAAGAATTTCGGAAAGATAGCAATATTTTCACCTACCCGTGAGTAACTATTGTTCGTCTAGCTGTAGAGGACGCCGCTTCGAATCGATTACGTAGGTGCCCCACTCGAATATTCACATCCTGTCTCCTAGTGGTTATTCGTGGTCGACCGGATTTTGGTAAGTCTTTGACACTGCCAGAGGCATTGTACCTATTTTGTAGACGAGTGATAGTGCTAACATGACAATTAAATCGCCGTGCAACGTCAATCTTCGAAACACTAGCTTCAAATAAACCAATTGCTTGATTCCGCAAATGTTCAGCAAGGTGCGGCATGGTTATAAAGTACTGACAGTTCAAATAAACTTGTTTTTCATGTGTACCGATTCATCACTACACGGCTACATGTATAGAAACTATCGGTAAACTATAGTGCACGGTGTGCACGTGGAAATGTGGTTTGTACAGTTTGCCGTTAAACTGCATTGAGGGAGGTTAAAAATAATGCCGTTTTGTACTCAAGTTAACAATAAAATGTCATTGAGAATATTAAAGGGAAAATTGTTTGTCCAAATTTAGTATAAACCTAAAAAAATGAAAAATGAAAAAGTTGCGTTTCATTTTGTGCTGAGTGTACTCAACATAGTATTTTTAGTCAAGACTTTCTGCGATAGGAAACTGTTTGATGTCTGCCTTTATTAATAATGTTTTCAACTATCGCCACTGTTTATGTTCGACTACGGGCACACTTCAGGTCCTCGTAAAATGTTGTAATGACTTAAAATATTACAGATCAAAACAAATAAACAAACTAACAAACGGAAAGGTAAAAAACAATTTTTCAAAGTAGACACAAAGGCAATATGTAGACAAGCTAAATGTTTTGAAAACACACACATACACACACAAAAAATCCATGACTTGTTAATCATCAAATATTGCAGTTTTCATTGCTTTTGAATAACCATAACTTTACCATGGAGCCAAACACTGGTGCTTGAATTTTATGTTAGTCAATATTTTACATATTCAGAAATTGTTGAACCTATAAACAAACAAGAATCATCAATTGTCGCTGGTTATTAATCAGACATTCAAGATTCAAGAATTATAAATTGAATACTAGTATGAATAAGAAATAATGATTCTATACTTATACATACATTGAACAGGTATGTTCGAGAAACCATGCGATCATTATAACTTTTTCTATATCATTTTTTATGTAATATCGAAATAAATGTCGTTGAAATTAAACCGCTTTTAAAACATTTTGAACTATTTTTAAAGGAGCTCATCTGAGGTTAAAAAGTCGACACACACAAACTTTGAAATTTCGACATATATCAATTGCAAGTGAAGCACTTGAAATGGTAAAATCTGCAAAAGTTTTAAAGAAATATACTCAGAGTTAATTTGAATATCTTTTTAGTGCGATTTTGAGTCCGATCCGAACGAAAACTGGCCATACTTTTCATTTTTTTAGGTTGTTTTGCAAAGTAAAATGGTAATTCTTGACAAACAGAGACAGGGAATGATATGAAAATTTGTGCAAACATTATTTGTCCAGACCTACATCAGATGTTGCACATATCTTGGTGAAATATTTCCATTTATTTCATGTTAAAATGATGAATTGGAGTTCCTTTTAAATTAAATAATTCATTAAGTGAATGCATATTACAATAAATAGCATTACTTACCAAAAGTCATTATACCCGTTAATGTGATTTGAAATGAATGAAATATTGTGTATCAATTACAATGATTTAAATCAGTACTAATTTTAACATTATTCAATGCAATTATTTTGCAACAATCTTTTTTAAAATGTGTTCTTTTTATGGTTATCTGTAAGTGGTGTACTAAGCATAAAGCTTCAAATCTTAGTCCGGTGACAATATATCGAGACTTGGTGGTGTAACATGCACCTGATATTTTAGTCTAACAGTATCATACAGAAGGGAGTTTAAGTCACACGTTTGTTCATAATAAAACTTATAGTTTGTTCAAGAAAAAGGAAAAAAAATACAGACGCTAAATTTGTAGACTCACATTACAACCAATTGAAAAGAATTGCAAGGAAAGGTTTATGCAACTGATAAATAAGATACACAAAACATAAAACATGATACCGGCGACATTGTCAAACAATTCCTTATTTTTAACGTATTTGAACAGCATTTGAGAATTTAAAAGCAATGAATAATTGAATAGTTTTGAATATTTGAACGTAATGAGGCGTGATGTCAGTTCACAAGTATCATATGTCTGTTTAAAAAAACTGTTTAAGAGCATTGCAGGGTTGTTATTATCATTTAAATCGTCTGGTAGTTTATAGCGTTGAACGGATTTTCAAGAGATGATTTTTTCCCTTCTCTTTGAATAATGACAGAGCTTAAATTGACACCACTAAAAATGTCTCTATTGATGTATTTTACCATTTTCTTTTCTTAATGTTGAATTCTGCTTAAGCCGGTGGTAGGTGGCGTGGGCGGTAACTTGCACTTTCCAGTAGCGCCTACATGAATTGACTCAATCAAACTGAGTCTGCAACATTTACAATTTTGGCATGTTAGACTTTTTTAAGGATGCTGTTTTTGGCTTGCAGCCACGGCTGCAAGCCATTTCATTTGGAAAACTTGTTCCGGTTAGGTGGCTTCCTGCTTACATCTGTTGGTGCATGATTGAACGGGAAACCAGCTGCAATCGTGCCAATCGCAACTTTTCGGCCTTTTCCGTCACTCTTCGGATTAATGATAATAGCCGATGTAGTTCCGATTGCAATCGTGACAATTCGGGCGATTCCGTCATACTGCGGAATCAGACGAAGTAATATTACGGAAATCTAAGCTACTTTAGTTACTTCGGTAATCCCAGTGTGTTTATATAAATAGGATTTCTATTTTTACTTGATTTATCGGTTTTAACCGTAATAAATTATAAACGAAATTGTTCCGTTTTAATTGTTTTTCAAGACGCAAAAGTTAGTTTTTTTTATAATTGTTTTTTGTCTGTATTAGTTTTATACAATAGAGAATGGTGACTGTAGTATTATTCCATCTTCAAAGGGTGGTCCTGCTTACCAAATCACGCATGATCGAGTTATATTTAGATCTACTGAACGCAATTCAAC